CGCGGAGCAGGGCAGGGCAGCCGCGCGTGCAGGGCAACAGCGCGGAGCAGGGCAGGCGCACGGGCAAAAACGAACGCCGGGCAAGAACGGAACTAATTGGTGGGCCCTTAAAAAAAAACGGTCCTTAGGAAAGACCCGCTCTATACCATGTTGAGATAAGCTAGGAAGGAATACCGGTAGGTCGATTAGGTCAGGGATGGGGGTACAAGCAAGAGTGTCGAGGTGAATTCTGTACCCCCTAAGGCTAGCCCCTATATACGGTAGCCTAGATAATATTAAACACATATGTTTGGACACATTTAACCCCATTCAACCTCACTGTACCTCTGACACCACCTCATTTCAGCATGGTGTTGCACATCGGCAAGCTTTCCATGCAGTATCATTGGTACTCATCTCATCTTTCAGTTTTTTGTTTTAGCAACCACATTCCAATGGCGATAAGGAGAAAGAGGATAAATCTGAAGCTGGAATCACATTCGATGCAGTCACTCGGTGCGCTGTGCATTCTTGACTCTCTGCCCCACCATCCGCCACATGCACCCATGTTACCATGTGCCCGTGCCACACGTCCCCTTTATCTCTGCTGCTACCATGCACCTGTGTCAGACCCATCCACATTCCACCACCAGCCACATCTAATAGCACAGCTTGATTGGGTCAAATGTCGCCGCCTCTGCACTCTTCACCCGCCCAAACTCCTCCTGGTGCTGCACGGTGTATGCTCGGTGCTCTGTGTGCATGTAGTGGTGGAAGGCTGGCAGGGAGCGCACTGAAGCTATGTAGGGCAGCAGCAGGCGAATGCTGTCTGCTTCCTTTCTTTGCCGGGCCTGGGGAAGGGGGATTGAGCAGACAAGGGCGAATTAAGAGGGGTGATCCTTGTGCAGGTGGTGGTGAAAGGCTGGCAGGGAGCGCACTGAAGCTATGTGCGGCAGCAGCAGGCTAATGCTATCGGCTTCCTTGTGTTGCCAGGCCTGGGAGGGAGTGGGATTGAGCAGACAAGGGAGAATTGGGAGGGGGTCGGCGTGTGCAAGTAGCAGTGGAGGGCTGGCAGGGTGAGCGCTGATGCAATGCTGCCTGCTTCCTTGCTTTTCCGGGCCTGAGAGGGACGGGGGATACCAGAGGGGAGAGTGTTGGGAGTGGGTGGTGAGGACCAGGACGAGGCGGGGAGAAGATGCAGATGTGGTATGCATGGCATCAGCAGGCGAGCGCTGTCTGCCTCGTTGCTGCAGCGCGGCTGAAAGGGGAAGGGGGAGAAAAGAGCAGATCTGGATGCAAGTGCAGTGATTCTATACTGAGCTGACTTTTGAGTTGACTCAAAAGTGCAGTGATTCTATACTGAGCTGACTTTTGAGTTGACTCAAAAGTGCAGTGATTCTATACTGAGCTGACTTTTGAGTTGACTCAAAAGTGCAGTGATTCTATACTGAGCTGACTTTTGAGTTGACTCAAAAGTGCAGTGATTCTATACTGAGCTGACTTTTGAGTTGACTCAAAAGTGCAGTGATTCTATACTGAGCTGACTTTTGAGTTGACTCAAAAGTGCAGTGATTCTATACTGAGCTGACTTTTGAGTTGACTCAAAAGTGCAGTGATTCTATACTGAGCTGACTTTTGAGTTGACTCAAAAGTGCAGTGATTCTATACTGAGCTGACTTTTGAGTTGACTCAAAAGTGCAGTGATTCTATACTGAGCTGACTTTTGAGTTGACTCAAAAGTGCAGTGATTCTATACTGAGCTGACTTTTGAGTTGACTCAAAAGTGCAGTGATTCTATACTGAGCTGACTTTTGAGTTGACTCAAAAGTGCAGTGATTCTATACTGAGCTGACTTTTGAGTTGACTCAAAAGTGCAGTGATTCTATACTGAGCTGACTTTTGAGTTGACTCAAAAGTGCAGTGATTCTATACTGAGCTGACTTTTGAGTTGACTCAAAAGTGCAGTGATTCTATACTGAGCTGACTTTTGAGTTGACTCAAAAGTGCAGTGATTCTATACTGAGCTGACTTTTGAGTTGACTCAAAAGTGCAGTGATTCTATACTGAGCTGACTTTTGAGTTGACTCAAAAGTGCAGTGATTCTATACTGAGCTGACTTTTGAGTTGACTCAAAAGTGCAGTGATTCTATACTGAGCTGACTTTTGAGTTGACTCAAAAGTGCAGTGATTCTATACTGAGCTGACTTTTGAGTTGACTCAAAAGTGCAGTGATTCTATACTGAGCTGACTTTTGAGTTGACTCAAAAGTGCAGTGATTCTATACTGAGCTGACTTTTGAGTTGACTCAAAAGTGCAGTGATTCTATACTGAGCTGACTTTTGAGTTGACTCAAAAGTGCAGTGATTCTATACTGAGCTGACTTTTGAGTTGACTCAAAAGTGCAGTGATTCTATACTGAGCTGACTTTTGAGTTGACTCAAAAGTGCAGTGATTCTATACTGAGCTGACTTTTGAGTTGACTCAAAAGTGCAGTGATTCTATACTGAGCTGACTTTTGAGTTGACTCAAAAGTGCAGTGATTCTATACTGAGCTGACTTTTGAGTTGACTCAAAAGTGCAGTGATTCTATACTGAGCTGACTTTTGAGTTGACTCAAAAGTGCAGTGATTCTATACTGAGCTGACTTTTGAGTTGACTCAAAAGTGCAGTGATTCTATACTGAGCTGACTTTTGAGTTGACTCAAAAGTGCAGTGATTCTATACTGAGCTGACTTTTGAGTTGACTCAAAAGTGCAGTGATTCTATACTGAGCTGACTTTTGAGTTGACTCAAAAGTGCAGTGATTCTATACTGAGCTGACTTTTGAGTTGACTCAAAAGTGCAGTGATTCTATACTGAGCTGACTTTTGAGTTGACTCAAAAGTGCAGTGATTCTATACTGAGCTGACTTTTGAGTTGACTCAAAAGTGCAGTGATTCTATACTGAGCTGACTTTTGAGTTGACTCAAAAGTGCAGTGATTCTATACTGAGCTGACTTTTGAGTTGACTCAAAAGTGCAGTGATTCTATACTGAGCTGACTTTTGAGTTGACTCAAAAGTGCAGTGATTCTATACTGAGCTGACTTTTGAGTTGACTCAAAAGTGCAGTGATTCTATACTGAGCTGACTTTTGAGTTGACTCAAAAGTGCAGTGATTCTATACTGAGCTGACTTTTGAGTTGACTCAAAAGTGCAGTGATTCTATACTGAGCTGACTTTTGAGTTGACTCAAAAGTGCAGTGATTCTATACTGAGCTGACTTTTGAGTTGACTCAAAAGTGCAGTGATTCTATACTGAGCTGACTTTTGAGTTGACTCAAAAGTGCAGTGATTCTATACTGAGCTGACTTTTGAGTTGACTCAAAAGTGCAGTGATTCTATACTGAGCTGACTTTTGAGTTGACTCAAAAGTGCAGTGATTCTATACTGAGCTGACTTTTGAGTTGACTCAAAAGTGCAGTGATTCTATACTGAGCTGACTTTTGAGTTGACTCAAAAGTGCAGTGATTCTATACTGAGCTGACTTTTGAGTTGACTCAAAAGTGCAGTGATTCTATACTGAGCTGACTTTTGAGTTGACTCAAAAGTGCAGTGATTCTATACTGAGCTGACTTTTGAGTTGACTCAAAAGTGCAGTGATTCTATACTGAGCTGACTTTTGAGTTGACTCAAAAGTGCAGTGATTCTATACTGAGCTGACTTTTGAGTTGACTCAAAAGTGCAGTGATTCTATACTGAGCTGACTTTTGAGTTGACTCAAAAGTGCAGTGATTCTATACTGAGCTGACTTTTGAGTTGACTCAAAAGTGCAGTGATTCTATACTGAGCTGACTTTTGAGTTGACTCAAAAGTGCAGTGATTCTATACTGAGCTGACTTTTGAGTTGACTCAAAAGTGCAGTGATTCTATACTGAGCTGACTTTTGAGTTGACTCAAAAGTGCAGTGATTCTATACTGAGCTGACTTTTGAGTTGACTCAAAAGTGCAGTGATTCTATACTGAGCTGACTTTTGAGTTGACTCAAAAGTGCAGTGATTCTATACTGAGCTGACTTTTGAGTTGACTCAAAAGTGCAGTGATTCTATACTGAGCTGACTTTTGAGTTGACTCAAAAGTGCAGTGATTCTATACTGAGCTGACTTTTGAGTTGACTCAAAAGTGCAGTGATTCTATACTGAGCTGACTTTTGAGTTGACTCAAAAGTGCAGTGATTCTATACTGAGCTGACTTTTGAGTTGACTCAAAAGTGCAGTGATTCTATACTGAGCTGACTTTTGAGTTGACTCAAAAGTGCAGTGATTCTATACTGAGCTGACTTTTGAGTTGACTCAAAAGTGCAGTGATTCTATACTGAGCTGACTTTTGAGTTGACTCAAAAGTGCAGTGATTCTATACTGAGCTGACTTTTGAGTTGACTCAAAAGTGCAGTGATTCTATACTGAGCTGACTTTTGAGTTGACTCAAAAGTGCAGTGATTCTATACTGAGCTGACTTTTGAGTTGACTCAAAAGTGCAGTGATTCTATACTGAGCTGACTTTTGAGTTGACTCAAAAGTGCAGTGATTCTATACTGAGCTGACTTTTGAGTTGACTCAAAAGTGCAGTGATTCTATACTGAGCTGACTTTTGAGTTGACTCAAAAGTGCAGTGATTCTATAATGCAAACAGTGATGCCGTGCACATGCCATGCAGGTGACAGGGTGATTCCAGACAGATGGTGTGTGCAGTGGAACATGGATGGGGTGAGGCACATAACTCATGGCAGGATGGGTTCACCTGAATCATGTCAGGGTCGATCCCAACATCCGATGCGCTGATGAACCGAATCTCATAGCCCTGTTCCAACGGATCCCCAGGTGACGGCACCTGAGAAACCACCTGATCAGGTGAATCCCCCAACAGAGCCCCATTCCCCCTTGCCTTCTCCCCACCCTGTCCTGCAGATCGGCCTCCCCTGAATCCACCTTCCCCAGTCTCCTCTCTTCCGTCCGCCCTCCCCCCATGGTTCCGCCAGGGGGGAATGTACTCCTCCCATTTGCCGTGTTGTGGCCGCAAGGGGGAGATGGGGAGGCAGGCAAAGGAGGAGGAGGAGGAGGAGGAGGAGGAGGAGGAGGAGGAGGAGGAGGAGGAGGAGGAGGAGGAGGTGGAGGAGGAGGAGGAGGAGGAGGAGGAGGAGGAGGAGGAGGAGGAGGAGGAGGAGGAGGAGGGGGAGGAGGAGGAGGGTGAAAGCGGTGGAGGAGAGTGCAGATGAGCAAAGCCGGAGCCGTGGAGGGAGAAGATCCAGCCGAAGATGAGAGTGGAGCGCGCCATGTGGAAGGCGGACGTGAGCACGAGCAAGCGCTGCCAGCACTGCGGCACGGCGTGCCACATGAGGGAGAAGAAGCCGTTTGCTACCGTGTCGTACAACGCCCACTCCTTGTAGATGTGCGCTGCAGAGATGCCATGCTGTGGGGGGAAGGAAGGGGACGATGTGGGGGATATAGGAGGTTGGAACATACTAAGAGTATGCGATGTTCTACACGGTGTTACATACAGGTACTGCCAGTGCAGCAGCATATCCACAGACTCTCTCACTCACTCACTCACTCACTCACTCACTCATACACTCTGTTACGCACCCGCTCTCTCACATACATTCTCTCACTCACACTCACGCTGCACAATCATCTCGCACTTGGCCTTCCAATCCCCTTAGAACATCCCCACATGCTACCTTGTCTACGAGGTACTGAGCGCACGCGCTGCTCTCATGCCGCATGTGCCCGTGCTGACTCAGCATCGGCTGCACGTGCGGAGTGCCCGCCCCCAGCACCACTATGGGGCAGCAGCAAGCCGCTGAGGGGGCGGAGGCGCTGGGGAAGGCGAAGGCGGAATCGCCCCCCTCCCCCCCGTTCATGGCGCGAGCTCCGCTGCTGCATCCAGGCGCCGCGCCACCCACTCTGCTCTGCAGCGCGAGGGGGGATGATGGGGAAGGGGGAGGGGAGCGGGGGAATAAGGGGAAAGGGGAGGGGAAGGGGAAGGGAAGGGGAAGGGGAAACGTGAGTGAAGAAAGAGGAAGGTGAGACGAAAATGAAGTGTGGGTGCATATAGGTTACCATGAGAAAAGATACGACAGGACTTCCGGTGCAAGGGTTGTCAGTGCAAGGGGGGACGGAGCGGTACAGCGCACCTGGAACAGTGCCGTCGCGTTTCAAACCGCCCGCCAGAACTATGATCCCGTCCGCCGCGAACCCCTCCCTTTCCGCGCGCGCATCCGCGCCGCTCCCCGCGCCATTCCCCGCGCCATTTCCCGCGCCATCCCGTGCCTCCGCGCTCACGCGTCCCGCCCGCGCCTGGCAGATCGTGCTATATTGACGGCAGCTAAGGGCACGCTGCACACCAACCACGCTGACGGGACCTGTCGGGCTACTTGGGCTTATCAAGGTAGTCGCGGGAATGCCGGGCGCGGATCGCCAACCGCCGTGAATGGCGCTCGTGACGCAAGACGCACTAGCGGATCGCGAGCATAGCGACCCCCTAAAACTAGTCTGCTTATGAGTCAACTCGAACGCTGAGGGCGCCAGTGATCTGCTACAACGAGGGCCGTCGGAGCGCGCAGGGACTACCCGGACCCTCCGCTCAACACGAACGGTCGTCTGGCGATCCCGCTGCTACCGACATCCGCCGCGCGCCGGCACTCTGGACGGTCGCGTATAATGTAAGAGTTAACGGTTAAGGGTCGCGAAAAGAAGATGGTGTGACCCTGCGCGGCGTTTAGACGAGCGGCTGACGTCATGGCGCGGCCAGTGCCGTCGATCAACTTGGTGATCGACTGACACGCAAAAAGCAATGTTTTCACAGCACGTCAACAGGTGTGCGGCGCGGTGTTAAAACATGCTGACGAGGCAGGGTGCCGCGTGCCGCGACGGGAGGGGACAGGATCAAAGATCGCAGAGTGCGACAGTAAGCGAGTGTTGAAAAAAGTGAATGGTAGCACTGTCGCTGATGAGTACATTTATAATTGATATTCTGAGTTAGCCTTCCACAAAAGAGATGTTCGGTTTCGTTAGGTCTCATGCTCTCTATAGCGGTAATGCGCGAGAACCGTATTACAACATGAGGAACCTAACTCAACCACATGAAAGCCACTATACGATCACGGTATCCACAGATCTGAACCGCTAAGGTGGTCTGTCCTTCTCGAGAGTAAATTAGTAGTGTCCCAAAATGAGCACTATGAAACAAGAAAAAACACGGAAAAAATATCATTCGCAGGCAGCAAGCCAGCTTTAAGCCGGCAAGGACCAATCATTTACTAGGTAAACACCCTACTAAATATCATTGCGCGGCCATCTGCTGCTCCCGGTACGTCTCGAATGAGAACCTCTTAACGGTAGGGCTGGAAGGGGAGGTGAGCGACCGTGACACACCAACCACTATAGCCCTGCCGCTGCCGCCCCTCCTGCTGCTGCTAGCAACAGGGCTTCCGGGAACCCTGCTGCTCCTGTTGCTGTCGCTGTCAAGATGCTAGGCGAGAAAAAAGGTGTGCATTGAAAAGGAACAAGAGTACAAGTACCTAACCCTAATGGGGTTGTACCCTATATTGTCTACCCCACTACAGCCTACCAACACATTACATATAATCTAACACACCCCCATAGGCAAAGTGGGGGAGAACAAGGGGTCACAAGACCAGTCCAGCAAAGCAAAGCAAGCCCAGGGTGGATCACAACGTCACCACACTCTGAACACAAGCAAAGGCCACAAGGCCAGTTCACATGCAGAGCTATATAGGTATATATAGACCAAGACAAGAAACACAGTGAGCACAACCTAGCAAGCAAGCAGCGATATATATAAATCACAGTACAAAGAAAGTCAAGTAGCAAGCAAATGAGGTAATGTGGACACAAGGCCTAACGCAGTACAGTGCCGCTGATGATCACTAGGCGGAAGCGCCTGAGTGAAGACATCAGCAGTGTTGGCCTTTGAGTCCACGTACACAAGACGAAGCTGACCACGCTGCTGAAGCTCTCGAGCAAGAAAGTAGCGAAGAGCAATGTGCTTCGTTCTGTGCTCCAGTCTGTGCTCCTGACACAAGGCAAGGGACGCCTTGTTGTCTCCGTACAGAACTGGAGGAGAACTAGGCCGCTCTCCCAAGTCAGTCAGCAGGTAGATGAGCCAGCGTAACTCCTGTGCAGCCATGGCCGTGGCGTAGATCTCAGCCTCACAACTAGAGCTGAGAACAGAAGAAGAGCGGGTGGACCGCCAAGAGACAGAACCAGAGCCAAGGCTGAAGGTGTAACCCTGTGACGACCGCTGCGTAGCCAGGTCGTCCACCCAAGAAGCGTCTGAGTGACCAGTGAGGACAACTCTGTCGCGTCCTCCAAGCACCAGCCCCATGCCTGATGTACTGCACAAGTAGCGCAGCACCCTCTTAGCAGCCTCCCAGTGCTCTCGCCTGTGTCTCCCAGGTGCAACGTAACGAGCAAGGATGCTAAGAGGGTACGCAAGGTCAGGTCGCGTGCAAGTCATCAGGTACATGAGGCAGCCTACAAGCTCTGGGTACGGGCCACTCGGCTCTACGGACTCGTCCGAAGGTGGAGCTGAGAGCGAGTGACTGGTAGCCAGAGGTGTGGCCTGTGGTGAGGAGAACTGGAAGCCGAAGCGCTGAAGGACCTGCTGCACCATGTGTGATTGAGTCAAGGTGATGGTGCGGCGTGCTCTGTCCCGGGTGATCTGCAGGCCAAGGTAGCTGCGCAGCTCACCCAGGTCAGTGCAGGTGTGTCTCTTCTGTAGCTCCGACTTCACACGAGCGAGTGCCTCAGTGTCAGCAGTAGCAAAGACCAAGTCGTCGACGTACACGAGGATGTAAAACGGCGGCAGCGACGTGTCTGTGCGCAGAAACAGTGACGGGTCAGCAGTGGAAGGAGCAAACCCAAGGGCCGCAAGTGTAGTCCTCAGTGTGTCGTGCCACTCGCGCGGCGCCTGGCGGAGACCGTAGACTGGCCGCCGAAGGCTCCACTGGGTACCAGGAGGGAACGACCCAGTGAAGCCAGGAGGGCGGCGCAGCCAGATCTCCTCGTGGAGGCTGCCCTGTAAGAAAGCTGTGCTGAAGTCAAGAGAGTGCAGCTCGTAGTCACGCTGAGCAGCAACGTGCAGCAACACCTGAAGAGTGGTCATCTTCGGGGTGGGGGAGAAGGTATGAAAGAAGTCAACTCCCTCTCGCTGACTGAAACCTCTAGCAACGTAACGAGCCTTGAAGACAGGCGGAGAACCCGGCGGCCGCTTCACCCTGAAAATCCACATGCCGTCGACGATGTTCGCCCCTGGAGGGGGAACCTCATCGACGTAGGTGCCTGTGGACTTCCAAGATGCCATCTCTGCGTCCATGGCTGTCTGCCACTGAGAGGAGTAGGGACCCGAGATCGCCTCTGCGTAAGAGCGCGGAGTGGGGATGTCTAGTGCATCTGGGTCTCCCTCAGGGGCAAGCAGCCAGGCCACGAGATGAGGTACAGCAGCCGCAAGAGAGTCAAAGTCCTCCTGCCTGTCCTCAAGGACGTCCGTGCCAAGAGCACACTCACCCCCGACGGACGGAGGACAGACGGACTCAGACTCAGCAACAAGACTGGCAGTGTAGTCTAGATGATAGACAGCAGCAAATTCAACCAGCTCACGGACCAGGGCAGATGCAGCAGCCGACTCAAAAGACGGGTCAGTGACAGCAGTGGCTAACAGACGCGTGACGGTAGGGTGCTCAGCACGAAAACGGTCAGACGCAGGGTCCGGAACGTCAGGCAAAGAAGACGCAGGAGGAGACGGCAGAGGAACCGACTGCGGGACAGAGGAGGGACGACGGACGACAAGGCGAGAACCAGCAACAGGCGGCGAACGCTGGTGCGAGACGCGGCGAGCGGAACGACCAGAACGAACAGGCGAGACAGGACGCGACGCAGGCTCACGACGCTCAGTAAGACCCCCTGACTGCTCAGTGTAAGGAGAAGGAGCAGGCAAGGGCGAGCCAGGCAGTAACGGAAGACCAGTAGAAGACGGAAGACTAAGAACCTGGCGAAGGACAGAGTCAGACGGCGGCAGAGACGACGGCGACGGCAAAGCGAAGAACAGGCGCGACTGTACAGTACCGCCAGCACCAGCAGCTCCAGCACCTCCAGCGACACCACCACCCCCAGTGTCAGCTCCTCCAGGACTGTCCCCACTAGCAGCAGCACCCCCAGAACCAGTACCTCCAGTCCCAGGGTCTCCAGTCGCAGCATCCCAGCGGTAGCACCCTCAGACACAGCACCACCAGCCCCAGCAGCTCGAGTACCAGCGGTACGAGCACCTCCGGGACCAGCGACGGGAGTACCTCCAGGAGACAACGGACCCGCACCACTCTCAGCTCTAGGGGCGGCAGTAGAGGCACCACCAGCAGTAGAGCCCGGAGCTCCAGGAGGGCGACGCTGACGGCGACCGAACCAGTCGTGCAGCTGCTGGGAGGTGAGAGGAACACGCGAACGAAGGCGGCCAGTCCAGGGCGCAGCCTCCACTGGCGACGCACCCCCAGACTCAGCACCCCCAGACGCAGCACACCCAGACCCCTCAAGCACAGGCTCAGCTCCCTCAGACGGAGCACCGCGACAACGAGCAGAACCAGCTCCTCCTGTACCTCCAGCACTAGTGTCCCCAGCCCTTGTGGCACCAGGCTCAGGACCTCCAGAACAACCAGCTCCGGCAGCCGCAGTACCTCCAGGACTAGCACCCCCAGAACCAGCAGCTGCAGCACCGCCAGAACCTCCAGCACCAGTGACCCCAGGCTCAGTGCCTCCAGCTCCAGCTGCACCACGCGGAAGGCGAAAGCGCCGAGCGTACCACTCACGGAGCTGCCGCTGTGTGAGAGGCTCCCGAAGAGGCGACTCAACACCCTGAGCACCCCCAGACGCAGCAACTCGAGGCACAGGACCCCCAGGCCCCGCACCCACGGTCTCAGCACCCCCAGGCTCCGCACCCTCAGGCTCAGCACCCCCAGGCTCTGCACCCCCAGGCTCAGCACCCCCAGGCTCAGCACCCCTAGCAGCACCACCCGCAGCAGCACCTGAGTCACCTGTGACCTCGACAGGCTCAGCGACGGGAGGAGGGTCTACCTGAGAGACACCTGAAGGAGCAGGACCCTGAGGGGGAAGGGGGTCGACCGGAGGGGGACCTGGAGCAAGGAAGAGCGGCGGGGGGGGGAGCGGGGCAGTGCGGTAGGGGAAGAGACGGTAAAAAGGAACCGACTCGTCAAAGGTGACGTCCTGAGAGGCGAAGACCCGGCGCGAGGTGGGGTGGTAAAACTGCCAGCCTGGCGCGTCAGGGACAAAGCCAAGGAAGACACAGGGAAGTGTGCGGGAGGAGAGCTTGTCCGCGGAAGTATCGCCGTCAAGGGCACGAGAGCCCCACACCCGGAAGCGCGACGCATCGCCGACCTCCCCCGTCCAACGCAGTGTGGGCGAGGTCTCCGGCAAGGAGACACGGGGCCAGAGGTTGAGCTGATGCGCCGCGTACCGGACAGCAAACGGCCACAGAAAATGGGGAGCCGCCGCATGAACCAAGGAGGTACGAGCGACCTCCATGACCAGGCCAATGCGGCGCTCTGCAACCCCATTCTGCTGCGGGGAGTCCGGAAGCGTGAAGGACTGCTCGATGCCCTCCGCCTGACAGAAGGCCCTCAAGAGGTCAGAGGAGAACTCACCACCTCTGTCAGAGTGCAGACGCAGAACAGGAAGCTCTGTCCTGAACCGGCGGCGGAGCTGGAGACGAACTGTGCGGATCCAAGGGATCAGAACAGCAGGGACCTCACCCTTGGTGCGCAAGGGGAAGACCGTGGTGTAACGCGAGTAGTCGTCGACAACCAGTAGAAAGTACCGCTCACTGCCCTGTCCACGGACGCGGGCTCGGCCCCACACGTCCAGGTGGAGGGTCTGCAGAGGAGCCTCGGTCGGGGGAAACGAGGAGGAGTGAGGAGCGGCGCGCTGCCGCCCCTCGACGCAAGGAAGGCAAGGCGGCGCAGGTGAGGCAGGGAGGGGAGGGAGAGACCGGGGAAGACCGGACACAAGGTGACGACGGTGCATGCCACGAAGGCGCGGCAAGGAGGGGTGACCCAGGCGGTGGTGCCAGAGAAGGGTCTGGTGCGACAGGGAGCGACACTCACAGGGGTGGGCTACTAGACCTGACGCAGACACCTGACCAACAGCAGCGACCTGAGGAGACGTAGTGGTCAGTGTGTAGAGACTCGACCCCAGCTGACGAGTGAACGTAGCCAGGTGACGGCCAGTCCTGGAGCACGTGAGGATCGCCACACGCTGTCCTCCAGGAGTAAAGGTGTCAACCCAGTGATCATGGAGAACAGCGTTGCTCACCAAGTTCGTAGAGAACGAGGGGAGGTGGAAACCCGACAACGAGCCAGACGGAGCCGCCGGACAGGGAAGCACAGTGGTAGACCGTGCAAGAACTGGACCCCCGGAGGGGTCAGCCAGGGAGACTGGAACCGGCGGAGGGAGGGGAGTGAGCTCAGTACTGTCACGAAAGAAGCAGCGGGAAGCACCTGAGTCAAGCGTGAAGGTGTGCAAGGCCTCAGCGGGTGCAGTACCGGAGAGCGCAGACTCGCTAGCAGGAGGGGGTGTACCGAAGGGAGTAGCCTCGGAAGGCACAGTACCTGAGAGAGCAGACTCGCTGGTACCTAGGGCAGTGGGCTCTATACCTGGGTCAGGCGGCACACACAAGTAACAGTCCCCCTCAGCACTAACAGTCAATGCATACATGGCAGCAATAATAGCATCATAATCAAGAGCAAAGATATCAACACCAGCCCTCATCAGATCAGCCCAGCGGGGGCGCTCAACCTCCTCGCCCATCTCCTCACGCCAAGCGTCGTCAAGGCGGGAGAAGCAGCGGTACTGGGTGTGGAACCTCCCACACTTCTGCCCCTTGCGTTCACCTGTGCGAATGACATAGGAACAGCGACCACTGCCTCCCGACGTCCCACGCTGAGCAAGCCACTCACGGAGCTGCTGGGTCGTCTGAGGACGCTGCTGCTTCTGCGAGGACTGGCCCGAGCTGGGGCCCACACTCCGACCACCACCACCGCCACTTCCGCCGCTCCGACCGCCACCGCTGCCGCCGCCACCGCCACCACTGCCACCACTGCTGCCACCGCCGCCACCGCTGCCACCACTCCCGCCGCCGCCCCCGCCCCCACCGCTGCCTCCACCCCCACCAGCACTCCCGCCACCGCTCCCTCCAGCACCGCCTCCTCCCCCACCTCCCCCACCACCTCCCCCCCCAGCGCCACCACCACCACCCTTGCCCCCCTTGCCCTTGCCGGTGCGGCGCCTCCCACCAGGAGCAGAAGCAGCGCCAACAGACTCAGCACCAAGGAAGTCAACAGCAGCAGCAGAAGCGTAGGAGGGAGCGAGGGGAGAGGGAGAACACCCCTCAAAGATGGGGGTGCGAGGAGCGCCACGAGCAGCACCTACAGCTACAATGCTCTTCTCGGCTGCTAGCAGCTTCTCCTCTAGGAGGGTGACTGTGAGCTCAGTGGGACAGCGGGCAAGGAAGTAGTCTCGGACTGAGCTGAGGGTGTCAGGGAGACGGGTGACTATGAAATGGAGCGTCCAGTACAGTGGAGGGGGGTTCTTAGCGCAGAACTCGGTGGGAAGGGCGGCACGCAGGCGAGCGTCACTAGTGCGAAGGTGGGTGATGAGATCGGCGACTGTAGCAAAGGTGGACAGCTCAGGGAACAGGTAAGGCAGCATGAGACGGCTAAGCTCGGCTGTGGCAGGTGAGGAGTAGCGAGCAACGACAGCGTCGTAAAGGGCCTTAGCGGTTTTGCAGTCGCCAAAGTGCTCTAGCTCAGCGAACGGCAGGTGACTGCGGATAGCAAGGCGAGCTGCAGCGTCACGAGTCTGCCACTGGGAACGTACACTAAGCTCGGCTGTGGCAGCAGGAGCAGCGGCAGCACCAGACGCATAGTCATAGAGGGAGACATTTTCCGTGCTATTGCTCATAAGATACAACTGCAGGTCGTCGAGCCAGGAAGTGAACTGCACGGGACGGCCCTCAGCATCGAAGGAAAGAACGCGAATAGAGGCCATAGCTCAGGCGGCGTGCGGGCACAGCAGAGCAGCGGCAGCAGCAGAGGGGACGCGCTAGAGCGAGGCTAGCAGCCGCAGCGGGAGCAAGCGGCGGTGCACGGGCAGGGAGCAGCAGGCGAGGCGGGCAGCGTAGCGGGCAGCGCAGCGGGCAGCGCGGCGGGCAGCACGGCGGGCAGCGCGGCTGGTGGGCAGCGCGGCGTGTAGCTCTACGGGCAGGCAGCGCGGCGGGCGGGCAGCGCGGGCGCACGAGGGCGCTAACGAGGGGCGCACGAGGGCGCTAACTAGGGCGACGGGCGGGCAGCCGAGCGGGTAGCACGGCGGGCAGCGCGGCGGACAGCGCGGCGGGCAGCAAGCGTAGCGGGCTGCGCGACGGGCGGGCGACGCGGTAGGCAGCGCGACAGCGGGCAGCGCGGCGAGCGGGCAGCGCGACGGCGGGCAGCGCGGCGGGCAGCGCGGCGGGCAGCGCGACGGGCGGGCAGCGCGGCGAGCGGGCAGCGCGGCGGGCAGCGCGACGGGCGGGCAGCGCAACGGGCAGCGCGGCGGCGTTGCAGGCAGCGCGACGGCGGGCAGCATGGCGGGCAGCTAGGGCGCACGAGGGCGCTAACGAGGGCGCGCGAGGGCGCTAACGAGGGGCGCGCGAGGGCGCAGCGAGGGCGCGCGAGGGCGCTAACAAAGGGGCGCGCGAGGGCGCTAACGAGGGCGCACGAGGGCGCAGCTAGGGCGCAACGAGGGCGCATCGAGGGTAGGGCGCGGGGTAGCGTGGTAACCGCATGCGTGCGACGGTGGGCCCTAAAAAAAAACGGTAGGTCCTAGGGACCTCCTGCTCTGAAACCATGTCAAGTTGCTAGGCGAGAAAAAAGGTGTGCATTGAAAAGGAACAAGAGTACAAGTACCTAACCCTAATGGGTTGTACCCTATATTGTCTACCCCACTACAGCCTACCAACACATTACATATAATCTGACAGTCGCTACGCGGCCGCAGCGGTCCGCTCTGGGTGCGCCGCGCGCTGGAATGCGCCAGTCGCGCGGAAGACCGCTCTGCCACGTCAGCACGAAATGAATCCTCCAAATCAAGAACCTCCGGTTCTTTCTTCGACGGCACGGCGTCGTTTCTGTCAACGTTATTTCTGTCAATGCTGTCTCCGTCAACGTTGTCTGATGTCGTAGCCGGGGCGTGCTCCTGCCATCTGCTCAGCTGCCCCTCATCCATGCTCAAGCTCGCTCTGGGGCGACGTGCGGCGGGCGCCACGCGACCGACGGGCTCCTCGCGCGTGGCCTTGGCAGCATTGTGCGTGCTGCGAGCGGTGGCGAAATCAAGTTCCGCAGAGGCGCCGGCGACGGAGGCGAGATGAGACGGGGAGAGGCGAAACTGAATCCGCGACTCCGCGGCGCCGCGCTGCTTGAACATCCTCGGCACGGGACCGGAAGATTTCGGCGACGGTGAGGACACATCGACGGTGATACTCGCGGCTTTGAGCGATGTCAGCGGCTTGCGCGAGGCGGTGGGGGAAGGAGGCGGCTTATTCCGCGAGAACCGCGACAGCGACGTCTCTATGCGCGCGACAACGTTGCTCATTTTCCACGGCCATAGCGCGGAAGCCGCCGCGTCGCCTTGAGCGGCGAGGGCGGCGGCCTCTGCCTCATCCGCGTCGGCGTGCATCTGCCACAGGTCGCCCGAGCCCAGCAGGGAAGAGGCGCGCTGCAGCGGCGCGATGAGGTGCTTCGCGAAGTTAGACGAGCAGAGGCGCTCCAATGGGCGAGGCTCTGAGGAGGCGGCAGCCATAATGGTGGTCTCTGCGTCTCGTACTGCGGTTCGGCGTGAAATATGCTGAAATTGTGAAAGCGAAATTGTATGATTTGGGAGGCTTGGTGAAAGAAAAACGCGAATGGCCTCGTACTAGTAGTCCCCGATGTGGTTCGTTGTTCTTCCTTTCTTTGGTGAGCTCAAGTCTCAAATGGCAACCTTGCAAAGGTGGTGGATATGAAAATCCAAGGAAGCACGTGATCCCAATCGCATCCCTCCTGATCCCATCCCATCCCATCCCAGAGCCGCCTTCTCGGCAAACCCCATCGATCTTAGGGCGGGTCAGACTTGGTTCACATCTAGTTCATATGCGGTGGAAAACGATGATGTGCTTTCTAGAACGGTTTGCATGCACCATCACATTGAACCACTATTCACAAGTCTGAACAGTGACACCATACTTCAACGGAAAACGAACCGCACCACCTGACCCGCCTGGGGGGATGGGGAGGGGAGGGGAAAAGGGGTACAGGTGATGCCCACCCCATGCACACGAATTTGATCTGCACCGGATGGAAATGCTGCACCCGAGGTTTTTTCCCCAGCCTGTTGCACCCACGTTACAAGCGCGTCGCGTGGTTATGAACCAATAGTAACGAACAGACCGAAGTCAAACTGAAGAGACTGAAGTCAAAATGTCAACGAACAAGGTTACGTATCCTTTATATAAGCACCTGCGAGTCCTTTTTAGCTAGCTGCGAATTGACGAAACTTATGCGAAATTCACGATACAACTTATACGCTTCACAAGGCAACCGGGAGGGGCTCAATCAGGCATCAAGTGTACAGTAGCGAGCAAAGCTGCCGATATGGGCGGGGCTGTATGGTTGCGCGGGGATGAGAGTCAGAGACAAATCGAGAAATGCAAAACCCTGACAAAGAATTTCAAAGTTGCCCACTGGAACATCGTCTCAACTCGGATTCCATTCCATCCATGCCTCGGGGAATTGGCAATAGGGAATACTGTAACAAAAACTTGTCTAATACTCATCAAACTGCACGTTAAATATAAAAACCTACCTACATACATAGGGTTTTTTAGATGGTAGTCATGCATGCGCTGCTACCTACATTACCACGACCCACTGGCATAGAGTGAGTTGATCCACCCATAAATCCATACTAAGATTTTTCACACTGCTTCAATACAAGGTCAGTTCAGGGTCAAAGTTTCCACGGTCCACGATGTGTGTCGAATTTGTGAAGACATTTGCCACATTTCAATGAGGATTGCCATGTGAAACTATGGTATTAATATGAAAGAACCCACTATAGTTGTTCTATGTGTAGCAAATGCATCATATAAATACACAAGAAGCTCATCATGATGTATGAATTTAAAGTACCTTAACCCAGACATCGTTTCAGGATCACTCGTGCACCCGAAAATACTACCCACAATACCATAAGGAAGATCATTAGGGTTTCTAGGTAGTAGGCAACATCATAGCAACAATAGCTGAAGGAAAAAGAGATGTTGTGGTCGGCACTGCATAGCACCCATTATACTGTTGACAAGTCCATGTAGAGCGCAATGTAGAGCAATGCGTGCAAGACATAACTTATGCGCCAGATGTGTCCTAGGAATTAAAAAGAGGCTATCCATTAAAATGCTGCTGCTCCTCCTCTTGCTCCTACTTCTGCTGCTGCTGCTGCTGCTGTTGCCAAGGTGGCTGCTGTGGCTGCTGCTGCTGCTCCTGCCCTGCTAGTTGCTCATGGTGCTGCGGTTGCGGGTGCCACTGTTGGTGCGGTTGCTGCATCTGATGTTGTTGGAGTAGTTCAAGAAGGTGCTGGAGATACAGCCGCTGTACTTGTGGGTATTGCTGCTGCTGCAACTGCTGCTGCTGCTGCTGCTGCTGCCAGCGTTGGTGCTACTGCTGTTGCTGTTGCCAGGGTTGCTGCTGCTGCTGCCGTAACCCTGCATGATGCGGCTGCTGCTCCTGCTGCCCTATCTTCTGCTGCTGCTCCTGATGGGGTTGCTCCTGCTGCTGCTGCTGCTGCTGCTGCTGCTGCCCTGCCTGCTGCTGCTGCTCCTGCTGCTGCTGCTGCTGCTGCTGCTGCTGCTGCCCTGCCTGATGCTGCTGCTCCACCCGCCGGTGCTGCTTCTGCTGTTGCCGTAGGAGAGGATGCTGCCGCTGGCTCTCTGGGTGCTGTTTCTGTTGGCGTCGCTTCTTTCCCAACAGCTCATGGATCTGTCCCTGATGTTGCTGCTGCTGCTGCTGCTGCTGCGTGGGTTGGCTCTTGTGACTCAACTCTCAGGGTCTCCTGACCTGTCCGATGTCTTGATTGAATTCCAAAAGTTTTAGCACCCTCCCCACTTGGGCCTTAGCCCAATGTTGCCTGCATCTGACCAACGTTTCCTGACTCTTGTGCCACCTGCCTTTGCTGTCGAAGGTTCTGCATTCGTCGCAGTCGAGAACGAACAATGCTCTCTGCATTGTCATAAGGGGCCTGTCCAGACGTTTTGTTGTTCTCGCCGCCATCTCTCTTACCGTTCCCTAACACCCTCCCTTCTCGACCTTCAAATCTTGCTGCTCCTCTTCTTCCTCCCATTCCTCCCCTCCCTCATGCTCTCCTTGCTGCTCCTCTTCCCCTCCCCAAAATTCCTCCACTCTCTGCCTCCACTGCCCTATCTGCTGCTCCTCCACTCCCCGCCCCCACTCCCCCATCTGCTGCTCCTCCACTCCTCGCCTCCACTCCCCCATCTGCTGCTCCTCCACTCCTCGCCTCCACTCCCCCATCTGCTGCTCCTCCACTTCCCGCCTCCACTGCCCCATCTGCTTCTCCTCCACTCCCCGGCCCCACTCCCCCATCTGCTGCTCCTCCACTCCCCGCCTCCACTCCCCCATCTGCTGCTCCTCCACTACCCGCCTCCACTCCCCCATCTGCTGCTCCTCCACTCCCCGCCTCCACTCCCCCACCTGCTGCTCCTCCACTCCCATCTCCACTCCCCCACCTGCTGCTGCTCCACTCCCTGCCTCCACTCCCCCATCTGCTGCTCCTCAACCCCTCGCCTCCACTCTCGGTCCAACCCTGCCTCCTCTCCCTGTCCTTCCTCCTCTCCCTGTCCTTCCTCCTATCCCTGTCCTTCCTCCTCTCTCTGTCCTTCCTCCTCTCCCTGTCCTTCCTCCCCTCCCTCTTCTTCCTCCCCTCCCTCTTGTGGCCTCTTGAGGTACAGCAAGCTCCTCTGCTTCATCCCTTTAAACAGCTTCATCCAATATTCCATCCTCGGAGTCTTCACTTGAACAATCCGTGTCACGATCAAACTCCTCTTCCCCAACTACAGCCTTTTCATCCTCACCAGCAATCCCCTCTGTTGAGATACCATCCATACGCCCAGTAGACGCTCTCCTTTCTCGTGCACGTTGCTCCCTTAGGGCCTCACAAAGAACATCTCGATTGTGCCTGTTGTTGCATGTTGTACACTGTGACAGGCTAACCATTGCCTCAGCTTGTGTGGCTGACTGCACACCCATGTGGTCGTCTGGTGTGTAAAGTGCTTCCCACGCTGCTCTCCTTTGTTTTCGCAAATTACAAGTCTTGATATTATGCCCTTTTTCGCCACACTTGCGACACTTACGCAAATTTCTCCCATCAATCTCGCCGTGCGATCGAAGCCTCTACTCACGCGGCCTCCCTGCCTTTCTCGGATACACTGGGGGTTTGACAGAGCGATCTGGAGTGGCCTCAGTGCGATCAAGATTTCTAATTTTGGTGCTATACAGTTTAGTGAATGCAGCAGAAGTGTAGCACCGATGCACCATAGCTCGAACCTCATGCCGCACAGCTAGCAACTCTCTGCCACGCGCTGGTCAGCTTTCATGGATGAGCACCGCAAATATGTGCACGCATGGAATGCTGTATTCTCTGCAAAATCAGTCAAGGGAATGATAAGGTGCAATAAATTGAGAACACCAACTTCATTGCTGGTTAGTAACAACAATTGTTGAATCACACCAAATAGTCTTAAATAACAACCACAGAATATAAACATATTATGCAAGACTCACGTGAAGTAGTTGCACGTGCACACAGTCTTCTTTGGATCCTCTTCATTCTTCTCCACTACACGTTCCTCCTTAGCTCCGGTTCGGCGGCTCACACGGTAGGAGTGTGGTCCAGTCTTCTCGACAGTGTACAGCGTGCCCGTTTGACAGTTCGCCCGAATTATGGCAGCTGTTTTTTTTTTCGGAAAGTCACCCGCCCCCAGACTTCCATAGAGCTCACGACCTTCTTGCATCTGGTCGGCTTGTCGGTTGATGAATTCAGGCAATACTTGGGCTGGATTGTCTTTCCTTAGTCCGCACATCGATGCATGATGAGACTCCACTGGATTTGTTGTGTAACACTCATACCGTGCCCCGTCAAACTTATACACGGCCCACTTTGATGCCAAACCATCATTCTCCAAGTACTCTCTGCCCCCCGGACACTCCTCCTCTATCTTCTTCATCATCCCTCAATGCACATCACGTGTCAATGCTGCAGCAGCAAGCTCAATCTTCCCATCCAAATCTGAACCAAATTTGGAGTTGAAATTTCGCACCAAATGTGTTACGCAAAACGCCTCACACATCCCCGGCAATACCCTAGAGGCTGCAGCCGTCCATGCCTTGCCACGGTCGTGCATTAAAGTGAACTTCGGGTTGTCGATCTCTTGCGCCGCTTGCCTCAAGAGCTCCAAAAAAAATTCACATGACTCAGCATTCTCTCCTTCAACCCATGCACTTCCTAGTCTCACCAACTTGTGCTCACAATCCAGCATACATGCGTAAAGGGTATGACCACGCCACCTCCCATTGTTGTGACAACCGTCAACAAAAATCATGGGGAAACAATTTCTGACACATTCCATAACACCGGATGCACCAATCCAGCTTGATAGAACATGCTATCATGTAGCTTCAATGAAATGACACTGGTAGGGTTTTTCACCTTGAATTCACTCAGGATACTCCCTATGTACTGGAAACCAACATCTCCAGCAAGCGGGTCCTCTGTCACAACAGCGTCAATTGACCTACCACATGTCGAATAACATCATTTTTTTCCCAAGCGCTCATTCACAATCCGTCTGAGGCCATGAGGCTTAATGTCGCGAAGAGGAAGCAACTCACGCACAAGTTCCTTAACCCCCCCTCTCCTAACCAGGGTTGGACGAGGCACACACAAGCTTGCGTGTTGAAGACATGCAGTTTTCACAACAAGACAGCCATCTCGGGGACCCGTAGCTTTGATCCTAAACGTGCAGAAACCGTTGAATGTGTTAGCCTCGTCTAGGGGCCACTCTTTGTCTTGCATGGAATGACCCCGCATTTCCAAACGGTCTGCTCTGTTTTGGAACCAATTTATTCCAAATTTATCTCTGTCGACATGCTTTAAGATCTCCACTCGGGCAACGCTCACAGATGGAAAGTCTTTCCCCTCTTGGATGGCGACCTCCTCATTACGTTGGCCCAAAAAAGCACTGTCAGGAACCATGCAACGATATAATGATGGGCACCATAATTGCATAAATAATTAGCATTAACACCAGACCTAAACTGAACCTCGTAAACCAATGTAAGCAAGTGGAAGGTCAATAACATGAATATTTGAAGCTCTTGAAAACGAGATTATTACCTTGACAAAGAACTTCTGAACATTCTGAAACTGTTGGATGCTTATGATACTGAATGGGGAAAATGAGAGAAAAAAAAGGGCGGATGTGACGGCTGAAAAATGGTAAGGAGGGTGTCTAAAATATGTAGACGGGAAAAGATATTGTATGTACACGTGGTGCTACCTACAGGAGTGAAAAAAAAAAACAAGAAACAGGAGATTGAGCAAATGAGAAAAGACGCTCGTAAACATAGTTAAAAAATTCAGGAGGGAATAGGGTAGAAGCAGGGGGGAAGACAATGCACAAAGTATGTGATATCATGGTTGAATAGTGGACGAAATATCAGAGAGCCAAACGTAGGGGGAGTTGATGAGTAGGAAAAAAACTATGATGCGATAGGGCGGACGAATGAGGGACAAGCCAACGAAAAAAGCTCAAGGGAGCGATTAGTAGATGTAAAGCTTGCAAAGTAGGTTGAAAGTGGCATTTGTGCACGATGCGTTACAAAGCTGATGGTACAACCTAGTATCACCTTGGAACTGGGGATGACGATCCTCATAAAAGCAGATAACGTTGGGTTCCATTAAGCCGTAGCCAGGGATGCAATGCAGACTAATCGGCATGGCATAGAAGCTACTACAACTGATTGGGACTTGCTGTTTGCAAACCCTAATTTGTACTTGTGACTTTGATTTGCGTGAAGTTACCTGGTATTCATGCTCGTAGTTGCTCACACGATGGTGCAACCCCTAACTGAATCATGACTGCCGAAATACTAGGCAGAAATCAAGAAACAGGCAAGAAGGGTTTTCACTAACAAGCATAGGGATACATATAGCAAACCCTAGAAGGGCTGTACTCGCTATAGAGTACCCCACTGCAGGCTAGACAACCATCACATTCTGACACACCCCCATAGTCAAAGTGGGGTACAATCAATACAACAAGCAGGCAGAGCAGTAGGTTCACAAATACAAGCAAAGCTAGAGGCTATCACAGAGGGCAAGTGAGGAGGAGGAGAAACTGCGGGGGCGAGAAGATGGGAGGCGACGGCTGAAGCTGCAGACACACGGGCAACAGGAGTGCGCAGCACTGTCGCTACCAGGCTAAACCCGGACTACACGGCGACAGGCGCAGCTGGCTCGCTGTGCTCCCAGGAGTGCTCACACTGTGGCTACCGGGCGCAGAGCCCCGGACTACACGGCCACAGGGGGTCGTGGCTCTCTGGACTACCAGGAGTGCTCACACTGTGGCTACCGGGCGCAGAGCCCCGGACTACACGGCCACAGAGGGTCGTGGCTCTCTGGACTTCAGGCGCTGCGGACAACAGTCGACGGCCTCCACTCAACTTCCCCCAGCTGTCCCACCCCCTTTTCACACACCCCCTGTTGAACCACTAGCAACGCTCACACGCCACCCCCCTCCTGACGGCTCCAACACATCCACCCCCCTGAGCGGCAGCTGCAGCAGTGGGAGACGGAGGAGGAGGAGGAGCAGGGGATGGCGCACTCACCCATCACCCCCATACCCGCCACCCCCACATCCGCCACCCCCAAACCCTAACACAGGCAGCAGCGAGGGGGGGGGTTGCGCGGGCAGCAGCCAGGGGGAGGGCGCGCGGCTCCCCAGGGCGCCTCGGCGAGGCAGCGGGGCAGCCGCGCGCGGCTCCCCAGGGCGCCGCGACGAAGCAGCGGGGTCGCGCGCGGCTCCCCAGGGCGTCGCGACGGGGTAGACGGGTCGCGCGCGGCTCCCCAGGGCGTCGCGACGGGGTAGCAGGGGCCGCGCGCGGCTCCCTAGAGCGTCGCGACGAAACAGCGGGGGGCAGCGCGCGGCTCCGTGGGGGGGGGGGGGGGGGGGGGGGGGGGGGGGGGGGGGGGCTTCGACGGGGTAAAACCGCCGCACGCCTCGGGGCGCACGGCGGGAAGAAAAATCCGTCGCGCGCCACGGGGCGCGCGACACACAGAGTAGCAGCGGAAGTTAACGGGTGGGACCACCCACAGGATCGACCCAGGAGGGTCAACCTGCTCTGATAGCATGTCGAAATACTAGGCAGAAATCAAGAAACAGGCAAGAAGGGTTTTCACTAACAAGCATAGGGATACATATAGCAAACCCTAGAAGGGCTGTACTCGCTATAGAGTACCCCACTGCAGGCTAGACAACCATCACATTCTGACACTGACGGACGTCGTTTCTATTTCCAGGCTCGTAACAAACGTGATGCCTAGTTTTGGGCGCGAGAATCAGGGAATCTCGATTCTGTAACAGTGGCATGCCGAGCCACCCAGAAAGAGCTGCTAGTTGGCGAGAAAGACAAGGCTGGGAGGTGACTGTTTACTTCGCGAGTCTGTTTAGTGTTCAGAGAATGGTTTTCTGCCATGTGCCCCAATGAGAGCCGAGCTGCGTTGAAAGCAGCTAACTCTGCGTCCAAAGCAAAGAACTGGCAGAAACCATGCGCAAGAAGCTACAGTACTGCGCTTTTGGCGCATAGTTTCAGTAAGCATGCGTACTCAACTCAAAACCCTTCTTTCCAATACACCATGGTGCCGTGCCACCCACCCTGCCAGCTGCACTAGATTCTACTCAATTCGATGACGTATACACCTTTCCCTCGCCAATTTAAACCCCTGGAAAGTTTTTATAGAGGCATCCTGGATCAGATTCGGCTGTACCTTTCAGACACCTAGAATCAAAATGATATGAACTATGCTCTCCGCGCACTGTGCATCAGTGGATCAGAAACAAATCTTCGTGGATCAGGCGCACCACCCACTCACTCAGGCCATTTTTCCAGTTGCAACCTCCATTGCGTCCACGGAATCGAAGGTAGTCCGGAATTATAACTACTTTAAAATAAATATCTAGCTGTACAACCCTTGGTTCCAGAAATAATAAGGGTACCTACCCACAAGTGAACAACTCCAGGGGTTGAAATTGGCGGGGAAAGGTGTACAGAGTTCCTAACCTAAACAATGTGACAATTTGGTGTACCTATTTTTAAAAATAGTTCAAAAGACTTGCCATTATCAATCATTCGACAACATGCATGTATACATTGGTTTGGTGTAACATCATCAACGCGTTACGATTGGTTTCACATCATCATTAAGCAAGTGTTTTACCTAACCCAATGCTCAAGAAGCATCCTAAGCTCCTAGATATCACTGGATTATCAGGAGCCTAATACCGTACTGCAGAGCCAAGTCGCATCGCCTGCACCACATATTACTGCCCTATCAGTGCAAACACTAGATTGGACCCTCGCCACTGCATAGCCACGACGCCATTCCCTCGTCTCACACACGTACGTGTACACTACCGTATCAGTGGCCCACTTGGTTAACTCTGACTATTTCTCCTGCACAGCCACCCACCACCACCGAAGCAGCAGAACGCCACCGCATCCCTACACCCCAAGGAGCAGCAGATGCAACATCACACATCCTTGCCACGCCTCCAGACAACATTTCATCTCAAAGTGCCGCATGCGCATCCATTCAATCTCCGATTCTCCAATCCAATTCTTCTTGCTGATCATGTGCAAAGTAACGGGCACAGCCCGTTGACGCCTACTCCTTGAAGATGCGCATCTCCCCTTTTACACAACACAGTAGAAACACTGGGGGGATGCTGTGCTGTGTGTAAGGGGGAAGAGAAAGGTAGGCCGAGCATGGAGGGCAGAGAGTGTTGGAAGTCACAAAGCAGCATTCCACACAGGAATGCATCGCATTGTATCTCACTCACACTCTTACTTGCACTCTCTCACTCGCACTCTCTCACACGCACTCTCTCATACTCTCCTACTCTCACAATCGCAACACGAGGTACTACCACATGCCGCAGATGCTACCTGTCCCAGATGCTACCTTGTCCATGAGGTACTACACACACGCACTGCTCTCATGCCACATGTGCCCGTGCTGACTCAGCATTGGCTGCACGTGCGGAGTGCCCGCCCCCAGCACCACTATGGGGCAGCGGAAGGCACTGGAAGGGGCGCTAGAGAAGGAGGCGCCCCCCTTCCACCCATTCATGGCAGCGTCCGGCCCTTTTCCCCCATTAAGGGCGGGGTCGCGCTTCACCTGCCTCACCTGCCTCACCCTCAGAGGTCGTGGCAAACCTTTCAACGACTTATTGTGCTGCGGTGATAGGGATGTCCGGAGAGTCTGCTTCGAGCTGTGTTCGCGAGATCCGTGGTGTGGCCTCCGCCCTGGGAGCGGGTAGTATTTCGGCCCTTTGAGCTTTGCTGCCAAACCTGCCTGAGACTTCCGATGTGCCTTCAGACTCAACTTGTTTTGATCGTCGGATGTTTTGAGATCCTCCCACACCGTGTATAAACCATCTTCGATAGTCTTTTCCAGGTGTTTCACCGACAGGATGCCAACGTGGCCTTCAGCTTTTTTCCTTTTGATGCATCCTCTACCGCGTACTCCACCATACCCTTCAGCTTCTTCTCAACCGTGTCTGAAAACCCCACAAACTTTTCCTCCAATGCTCCCACAATCGCTGCAGCAGCTGCGCTGCTGCCGCTCGTGCATCGGCTGCTGCCGTCGAAAGAGCAGTACGCAATTGGCCGAGCTCAGCCTGCTCTCGGAGCACTGACTCCTTCAGCCGTACGTACTCGTTCGTTAGCTTGGCAAGATCGGCAATGTACCGAGCATCCCTTTTTGCAAATTCCTCCCCCACTTGTCGAATTTCACTGAAGCACTGTGTAAGGCGCACATTTTGGTCCGCCGACATCCCCGCCACTGACTTCACCACCAATGTGACTCGCCGCATCAGCTCCTTCGTGGGTTGCACACGCCCAGTACCTGCCATGCGTTCGCCAACCTCTTCGAATCCCCCCCCCCCCGTCCCCTCGAAAACCAGAGGCCCTGCGTTGGCAACTTCACGCAATCGCGCCTCAGTCTGCACCCATTCATCGCCCTCAACTTCCTCTGCCTGACCCCTGGCTTGATGATCCGCCGTACGGATGCTCGTCCCTGCATGCTTCCTGCACTCTCCCGTTCTACCGCCAGGTCAACGTTTCCCAGATTTAACCCTTAGAGTCCTCGCACCCCTTCACCCCGTCCCCCCGCCTGCCGTCACTGGTCCTCCCTTTGTCGTGTTCCCTCTTCTCTGCGACCCCCCGTGTTCCTTCGTTGATCCTCCCTTGGTAAAAAACCTTCAGTATCCCGTCCGACACCACGCCACCTCTGCTCCTCCCCCTCTCGCTCCCTGTACCCTTCGACGCACATCAGTCTCTCGCCGTCCGGCATGCATTCCCTGCTCCGTCCTCCTGCGGTCGCCCTCGCCTATCCAATTCCGAATTGTTTGATCTCCACGCCGACCGCCTTCCCGCTGCAGCTCAACTCTCGGGCCACAAGTCCCCAACCCCGCTAGACCCACCTTCTCTGGTCGTTGAGCAGTCGGCCTTTGCTGGCCCTCTGTTGGCCGGGCGGCACCCACAACTGGTAGGGCTTCAGCTACTGCCTGCCCCAACTGTGTTTGCTGCACTCTCGCGCCCCTCTGGCCCTCACTCGTTCGAAGTGTTCCATCCCCACACCCGCCCTCCACCACCTTGTTCACCCAACCCAGCAACCTCTCTCTGCCTCTCGTGTCTCTGCGAAGCAACCCCCGTCCCACGCTGCTCATGCTCATCCGGCTCTGATGCTCTTGATTTGGTTCGCCCTCAGTTGCCCTCGCCTGCTCTTGCGCGCGCCACTCGCTGTCGACCCTTAACCTATCGGCTTCATCCCTCTGTCTTGCCACTTGCTTTTCGCGCTTGAGCCTTTGCAGCTCCTTCCTTTGACGTTCGCTTTCAGCTCTTTTCTGCTCCCGTTCCTTCCTCTGCCGTTCCTCCTCAATCTCAAGCTCCACCCGCCTGTCCTCAAGCCTCCTCTTTTTCTCCTCGCTCTGCCGCTTATCCTCCTTTTCACACTCCACCCGCCTATCCTCCTCCCTTTTCCTCTCTTCCTCCTCCCTCTGCCACTCCTCCTCCTTTTCGCGCTCCATCTTCCTCTCTTCCTCCCTCTTCTTCTCTTCCTCCTCCCGCTGCCGCTTCTCCTCCTTTTCACGCTCCACCTTCCTCCTCTCCTCCCTCTTCCTCTCGTCCTCGTCCCTCTGCCGCTACTCCTCCTTTTCGCACTCCACCTTCCTCTCTTCCTCCCTCTTCTTCTCTTCCTCCTCCCTCTGCCGCTTCTCCTCCTTTTCGCGCTCCACCTTCCTCTCTTCCACCCTCTTCTTCTCTTCATCCTCCCTCTGCCGCTTCTCCTTTTCGCGCTCCACTTTCCTCTCCTCCTCCCTCTTTCTCTCTTCCTCCTCCCTCTACCGCTTCTCCTCCTTTTCATGCTCCACCTTCCTCTCCTCCTCCCTCTTCCTCTCGTCCTCCTCCCTCTGCTGCTTCTCCTCCTTTTCGCGCTCCACCTTCCTCTTTTACTCCCTCTTCTTCTCTTCCTCCTCCCTCTGCCGCTTCTCCTCCTTTTCGCGCTCCACCTTCCTCCCCTCCTCCCTCTTCCTCTCTTCATCCTCCCTCTACCGCTTCTCCTCCTTTCCGTGCTCCACCTTCTTTTCCTCCCCCCTCTTTCTCTCTTCCTCCTCCCTCTGCCGCTTCTCTTCCTTTTCGCGCTACACCTTCCTCTCCCCTTCCCTCTACCTCTCTTCCTCCTCCATCTGCCGCTTCCCATCCTTTTTGCGCTCCACCTGCCTCTGTTCCTTGAGCCTCTCCTTTTCCTCCCTTTGTCACGCCTCCTTTTCGCGCTCCACCTGCCTCTGTTCCTCAAGCCTCTTCTCTTCCTCCTCCGTCTGCCGCTTCTCCTCACCGTCGCGCTCAACTTGCCTCTTGTTTGCGAGCCTCTTCCGCTCCCGTTCCTCCCTCTCCCTCTCCCCCTCCATCGCGCGCACCTCTCGCCCCTCGTTCTCGACCTCATACGCTTCTGTTCCTCCCTCTGATTCGCCTCCTCCTCCTCACGTGCTTCCCACCCCTGATCATACCTCTTCTCTGTTCGTGCCTCCCGCCTCTGATACACCAACCTATTCTCGCTCCGCCCTCTGCACCTCTTGCTCAAAATTCGCCTACGACATTCAGACTCCCCTGCCTCATGTCCAAACCCTGCCCCTGCTCCTGTTCATCATTCTCGACCGAAAGGTGCACTGCCTCTAAAGCCATTGCAAGCTCCTCCTCCATCCTCTCCCCCTCCCCCCTCTGCTGTAGGGCCTCTGATCCGTAACGCTGGGTTTTATCCTCTGGTGCCCTCTGCTGCGCCTCCCTCATTCCACGCAAGATCTCGCGCGCACTCTCCCTTCGTTCGGGTTCTTTGTATCCATCAGCTGACGCTCCCCATCCGATACGCTATGACGCTCGTTGGCCAGACCCATTCGTGCGCCGTCAGCAACCATGGCCCCCAACGCGACTATTTCTGCGTCAATAACGGGCGGGGCACCCGTGTCCTTAGCAGCGGCCCCAAGGTGGCCCAGGTTGTCCACCTCTCCCGCACTCTCCTCATCACCAGCCGCCCGTTTATCGAAATACTCAGCGCAGGTGGTCACTATCCCCTGAAAAATCTCCTCTCGTCGGTTGTGTGGTTTTCCAAGCCCAATAATGTCTCGTCTCGATTTTGTTGCCGGAGAATCGAGTTGATACGATTGAGCAAATTACGCCTCTGGTACGCTACATGAGAACCACTCCCGACCTCCCTCGAGCCGACCATCAAGCTTAGCTTCTGCATGAAATTGAAAGTGAGCAGGTTAGCACTTGTCCTGTTTCGAGTTTCAAAAAGAAATACAAGTTTGCACCGTAAATTTACTCCAGCATTGCTGAGCTTCCAGTCGCTCATAATCCGTCTCCTGATGTCGCGAAATGTTTCCTTCACCTGTGGGTGTAGGCTTGTTTCTCCTCTAGAATACTCCATCAAAAGTTCCTCCAGCCATCTGCTCAACATGTGAGTTTCCGACAAAATTAGTTCCGGCTCTGCCAGGCCGTCAACAAGCACATGTGATGAGCGAAATAGGGGAAACTTACTTGACAACTTGTAGGGCGAGGTCGGCGTGCTTGTGTGCTGGAGAATTTGACTTGGGGTCGAAATGCACAAGACGCGTCGCAACCGGAACATTCGGGTGGTCGACCAGACTGTCGGGCCGGACAAGCAAAAAAAGGCTACAGCGCGCTCCAGGATCGGCAGTCAAACTGCATGGGTTGGTGGGGCGAAATGTTAGCTAGCGCGAAGAAGCTCAAACAATCGAACAACCAATGTCTGCTCCGCAAAGTTCGAGCTCACCTGGACCAAAGCGGAAGACGACGAGTTGCTTGCCAGGCACACCATCGGGTCTGCCAGGACCCATGGGTTCGAAAGGTTGTTTCGCCCTGGCCTCGTTGACTTTACTCATCGGGATAATTTCTACCTTCGAAAGCTGCTCCGAGGTCAGCCTCTCCTTTGCAAGCATCCTATAAGAGACAGCACACGAGCGTTAAAAGGACAGGCGATCGCTGAACAACACATCCCTATTCGCGGATTTTTTTCTTGAAAATCCAAGCCTATTTCAGAAATCTAAATCCCCTTTCAGAGCCGATTGCTTCCGTCGAGCGGGAGAACAGAGGAAAAACATTCTCGAAACCTGGGATAGCTGTTAGAGCGCCCAGAGCGTTGTTCAAGTCGACCGTTATAACATCGCTTGTACAGCATCAATCCTACGAGGGCATCTTACACCAAAACAAAGTTGAGCATGTTCTCGGTCCATTCCCCACGCTTGTGTTGCATGTTCTCGAACTCTAAATGTGAGAGGCGCACAGGCAAGCCAGCAGCCTCTACTTCCATCGAAGGCTCCATTGACTAAGGGAAGAAAGCAGAGTAGCTCCGATGAAGAGAAGAACTTGAAGAAAACTGAAAGAGAAGACGTAAAATGAGAAAATGACCTCTGTTAGACGTTTCAACCCACCCCCCTCTAACTTGAGCCTAAGTTTCAGGACGTGTTCATACATGTGACCTAAGATGGTTGTGGCTGTTAAATTGTAATGTGTTATATGTTGGTAGGCTGTAGTGGGGTAGCCAATATGGGGTACAACCCCAACTAGGGTTTGCTACTTGTACCAACTGTTTCATTCAATGCATCATTCTTGCCTAGTTCTTTTCACATGGTATTCAGAGCAGGAGGTCCCTAGGACCTACCGACCGTTTTTTTTTAAGGGCCCACCACCGCTCGCATGCGGTTACCACGCTACCCCGTGCCCTAGCCTCGTAGCGCCCTCGTGCGCCCTCGTTAGCGCCCTCGTGCGTCCTCGTTAGCGCCCTCGCGCGCCCTCGTTAGCGCCCTCGCGCGCCCTCGTTAGCGCCCTCGCGCGCCTCTCGTTAGCGCCCTCGCGCGCCCCTCGCAGCGTCGCCCGCCCGCCGAGCCGCCCGCTCGCAGCGTCGCCCGCCTACCGCGCTGCCCGTTTCGCAGCCCGCCCGCCGCGCTGCCTGCTCGCAGCGTCGCCCGCCCGCCCGCTGCCCGCTTGCAGCGTCGCCCGCCCGCCCGCTGCCCGCTTCGCAGCGTCGCCCGCCCGCCGCGCTGCCCGCTCGCAGCGTCGCCCGCCCGCCTCGCTGCCCGCTTGCAGCGTCGCCCGCCCGCCCGCTGCCCGTTTCGTCGCCCGCCCGCCTCGCTGCCCGCTTGCAGCGTCGCCCGCCCGCCCGCTGCCCGCTTCGCAGCCCGCCCGCCGCGCTGCCTGCTCGCAGCGTCGCCCGCCCGCCCGCTGCCCGCTTGCAGCGTCGCCCGCCCGCCCGCTGCCCGCTTCGCAGCCCGCCCGCCGCGCTGCCCGCTCGCCGCGTCGCCCGCTCGCCCCGCTGCCCGCTTCGCAGCCCGCCCGCCGCACTTCCCGCCTGCAGCGCCGCCTGCCCACCGCGCTGCCCGCTTCGTAGCCCGCCCCCCGCACTGCCCGCTCGCCGCGTCGCCCGCCCGCCGCGCTTCCCGCCGAGCTACCTACCTGCAGCGCTGTGGCAGCTTCCTTTGCTCAGTCGCACTGTCGCTATGGCTTCCATCCGCGTGCTGTCGTTCGATGCTGAGGGCCGCCCTGTGAAGTTCGCCACTTGGCTGGATGACCTGCAGCTGTTCCTTCTGAGCGATAGCAAGGAGCATGTGTCGCTCTATGATTACGCGTCTGGTGCTGCACCTGCCCCCCCTGCCACAGCTGAGCTTAGTGTTCGTTCCCACTGGCAGACTCGTGACGCAGCTGCTCGCCTAGCCATTCGCAGTCACCTGCCGCTAGCTGAGCTCGAGCATTTTGGCGACTGCAAATCCGCTAAGGCCCTGTACGATGCTGTCGTTGCTCGCTACTCCTCGCCTGCCACAGCCGAGCTTAGCCGCCTCATGCTGCCGTACCTGTTCCCTGATCTGTCCACCTTTGCTACAGTCGCCGATCTTATCACCCACCTTCGCACTAGTGATGCTCGCCTGCGTGCCGCCCTTCCCACCGAGTTCTGCGCTAAGAATCCCCCTCCACTGTACTGGACACTCCACTTCATAGTCACCCGTCTCCCTGACACCCTCAGCTCAGTTCGAGACCACTTCCTTGCTCGCTGTCCCACTGAGCTCACAGTCGCCCTCCTAGAGGAGCAGCTGCTCGCGGCCGAAAAGAGCATTGTAGCTGTCGGTGCTGCTCGTGGCGCTCCTCGCACCCCCATCTTTGAGGGGTGTTCTCCCTCTCCCCTCGCTCCCTCCTACGCTACTGCTGCTGCTGTTGACTTCCTTGGTGCTGAGTCTGCTGGCGCTGCTTCTGCTCCTGGTGGGAGGCGCCGCACCGGCAAGGGCAAGGGGGGCAAGGGTGGTGGTGGTGGCGCTGGGGGGGGAGGAGGTGGGGGAGGTGGGGGGGGAGGCGGTGCTGGAGGGAGCGGTGGCGGGAGCGCTGGTGGGAGTGGGGTCGGCGGTGGAGGCGGGGGCGGCGGAGGAAGCAGTGGCAGTAGTGGCGGCGGCGGCGGTGGCGGCGGTGGCGGTGGTGGCGGTGGTGGCGGTGGCGGTCGGAGCGGTGGTAGTGGTGGCGGCGGAGGTCGGAGTGGAGGCACTGGCTCGGGCCAGAGCTCCCAGCAGCAGCAGCGTCCCCAGACGACCCAGCAGCTTCGTGAGTGGCTTGCTCAGCGTGGGACGTCGGGGGGCAGTGGCCGCTGTTCCTATGTCATTCGCACAGGTGACCGCAAGGGACAGACGTGTGGGAGGTTCCACACCCCGTACCGCTGCTTCTCCCGCCTTGACGACGCTTGGCGTGAGGAGATGGGCGAGGATGTTGAGCGCCCCCGCTGGGCTGAGCTCATGAGGGCTGGTGTTGATATCTTTGCTCTTGACTATGATGCTATTATTGCTGCCATGTATGCATTGACTGTTAGTGCCGAGGGAGACTGTTACTTGTGTGTGCCGCCTGACCCAGGTATAGAGCCCGCTGCCCTGGGTACTAGTGAGTCTGCTCTCTCTGGTATGGTGCCCCCTGTACTTGCTCCCTCCAGTGCTGTCCCGGCTGTTTGCGAGTCTGCTCTCTCAGGTACAGCACCCACAGAGACTGCTCTCTCAGGTACCGCACCGGCTGAGGCCTGTCACACCTTCACCCTTGACTCAGGTGCTTCCCGTTGCTTCTTTCGTGACAGTACTGAGCTCACACCGCTTCCTGCACCGGTCCCAGTCTCCTTGGCTGACCCCTCTGGGGGCCCAGTCCTTGCCCAGTCCACCACTGTGCTCCCTTGTCCGGCGGTTCCGTCTGGCTCGTTGTCGGGTTTCCACCTCCCCTCGTTCTCGACGAACCTGGTGAGCAACGCTGTCATCCAGGATCAGTGGGTTGACACCTTTACCCCTGGAGGACAGCGTGTGGCGATCTGCACGTGCTCCAGGACCGGCCGTCACCTGGCTACGTTTACCCGTCGGCCGGGGTCGAGTCTCTACACACTGACCACTGCGTCTCCTCAGGTCGCTGCTGTCGGTCAGGTGTCCGCGTCAGGTCTGGTGGCCCACGCCTGTGAGTGTCGTTCCCTGTCGCACCGGACTCTTCTCTGGCACCACCGCCTGGGTCACCCCTCCTTGCCACGCCTCCGTGGCATGCACCGTCACCGCCTTGTGTCTGGTCTTCCCAGGTCCCTCCCTCCCCTCCCTGCCTCGCCTGCGCCGCCTTGCCTTCCTTGCGTCGAGGGGCGGCAGCGCGCCGCTCCTCAC